TTTTTTTTTTTTTTTTTTTTTTTTTTTTTTTTTTTTTTTTTTTTTGTTTGTTATAAAAGTATTAAATTTGTGGAGCCAAGTTAGTTTATGTACTGAAAATCATTAAATAAGATTAAATTTGTAAGGAATATTAAAATTTTTAATGCCTACGAATATAATGAAATTGAGTTTTGAGCGTCAAAAAGATGTCGAACATTACTACTAACTAAATGTTTTTAGTACACGAAAATAATATACAAATAGTAAAAATTTCTTTTTATCATTACGAGAAAAAGAAGTATACTAAATTTATTTCATACAATATCTTGATAAAAAAACAATTGTGTATAGGTGCCATCGAAATAGAGAACTATTTTTAGCCCGTTCGTTACTTTAGAATATATCTCGTTCCATTTGACTGTAATACTTTAATTTTTAGAAATGAAATAATTTTATAACGTAGTCACGTTTTTAACGTATGACAATCTACTCGAAAAACATATATATCTACACTTATACATGTGACTGCTTTGCTAATCTTTGTAAATAATCTTTGAACTATGTAAATAAAACTGAAAAAATTAATGTCTTGTAGTTATAAAAGTCAAGCAGCTACAATATAATATATCATCTAGCCAAATATAGGTAATACGCAGAGAGTAATAAAGTGACGTAAAATTATAAATTATTTTGATTTATAAAAATCATTAATACGATTGGCTACATGTATTACATTATGGAAAACGCTTAAGGTGTGCAACATAAAAAACAGTATCTATATGTATACACTATAGAATATGATGGCATGTCAATTCATAGTTTCAGCTTGAAAGTAGCTGTTGGAGAAAGAGTACCTACGAGTATTTTGGAAAAAACCTATACATTCCAAAATTTTGTAATTCGTGTTTTAAAAATATTACGATACGAGTGTAATCAGAATATTGAAAAATTGATATAGTACATACCTTCTAAAGAGAACAATAAAGCATTGTTTTTTTCTCTGTGAATAATATGATGACTGCAACGTTTTTAAAAAAGCATATTACCCATATAGTATTACAAAAAAATTGCTGTACGAACACATATTAATAGATCTGTTTATTGAAATAAAATATACTGTATTTATACCATGCAGTTTGTAAAAATAAAAATTTTTTCATTTAAAAATTAGATTTTTATACCTTCAAAAATTTCAAGGCTTTTACATTTATCATTGTGGTATAAAAAATAAAATACAAAAGAATTTTACTCTCAATGATGTAAAAGTTATACAGGAACATCCGCTGTTTTTTT